CCCAGCCCCGCCGACACCGCTACCTCCGCCAGCGTTGCCACCATCAGCACCACCTCCACCACCACCGCCGCCACCGCCACCGCCACCGCCGGCGGCGGCAGCAGCCATTTCATCTCCACAGAAACCAGACACAAAAACATGGCAGAAATGGAGAAAGAAGGGAGACCTCCGGAAAATAAAAGGAGCAGGAAGCCGGCTCACCCTGTGAAGAGGGAGATCAACGAGGAAATGAAGGTATGTTGGGACTTCGGGGCCGGAGAGACCGCGCTCTTTCTCCCGCCCGCTCCCTTCGGGCCGTTGTATGGGTTTGGGGGGACAGGGGAGCGCTTGTCAGTTCCGGTAGGATGCCCTGGACGCCTCCGCTGCTCCTCCAGGTGCAGAACGGAGGCCAACTCGCGGGCTGCATCCTCGGGGTTTGCCTGCCTCCGATTTGGTGGGGGTGGGGGCGGCCGGAGAACCGCACACTCTTTAACCGTGTCAACCCCAGGTTGGTACAGGCGCGTTCCGGGGGGAGGCGTCCGGCGGCCCAAGTGGCGGTGGGCACGGCCGAGAGGCTTTGCTAGTCGGCGGTGTAGTTTTTTCCGCTTCTTGGTCCCTCCAAAGTTAGGAGCTGCCGGGCCGAGGCACCCGGGAGCGCTCCATTCCCCCGTCTCCCCGGTTCACCTCCCCGCTACCCGGCCCGCTTCCCCCCAAGTAGCCAGCTGAGCGGCGTACAGGGGCTGTCAGTGCCCGGGAGAGCCGCGGCCCGGGCGGCGCGGGGCTGGGTACCGTTTTGACGTCCGGCTCGCCTCGCCCGCCCTGCCCGCTCCTCTCTCGAGGCTGCCTCCGCCTCTCTCGCTCCCGCGCCTCTGCACGCTCCACTCCCCAGTTCAGCAGACCCGGCCAGCCCTGCTGAAGGATCGCTGTCGGAGGGGCGGCCTGCGGAGCCCCTGCCCATTGTTCGCACAGGCCAGCCCCGAGTCCGCTCGGCGAGGCCGGGCTCCGCGCCAGGCCAGCGGTGCTCCAGAGGTGGCCAGCGCAGCCGCCGGGTGCTCCAGCTGTTCCCGTTGGAGCGATGGCACCAGAGCGCCGCGCAGCTCTAGACCCTCCTGGGCCCCCCAGCCCCTTATTTTCTATGAAGTTGCAGCTTTTGCCCGGCGAGGGGTTTATTCTGTGATTACAGGAGTCTCTCCTGATTTAGAAAAGATTATTTTATTTACCTATTTTTCTTTGAGTTACACACAAGTAGCAGATTTGGGGGGGGGGAACCTTAGTTTTCATCCTGCAGCTGTCTTAGGTCTCCATCTTCTGCATAGACTCCTTAACACTGCCAGCTGACTTGCTGAGGTTGGTTAAGTTTGTATTTAAAAGACAAACTGAATGAAAATGGCACGCAACTGAGTTGAATTCATCGCATTTTGATGTTTTCTTCTTTGGAACAAACATATTCTATGAGAGTGCCTTGTATGAAGCCCACGCTTAGAGAGGGACACATGGATAATATGTCCTATATGTACACCCCTGGGAAATTTCCACACAATCCGAATTTTGAACTTAAGGCTCTTATTTTCTGGGTGAGGAACTTAGTGCTTGGAAGTATGAGGTGCAGCTGTGGGAAGTAAGAGAGTTAAGGAAGATTTGCCTTGGAAATCAGGGCCATTCTTTGGGATGGAAACCACCATTGATTCCAATCATAGCTTAAAAAAGAGAAAGAGTGAGAGAGAGAGAGAGAGAGAGAGAGAGAGAGACCAGTAGGAGTTGTCCTCCAAAGGGGCTGGAATTCAAACAATCGACCATAACCATTCTTCCTCACTTACCCTTCCTGCGTTTCCAGATTACTTTCCCATTTCATTTTAAATTGGGGGTGGAGGGAGAGGAGAGAGGTGAAGTAACCAGGAAATGAGTGTGCACTGGCCCTTTAAAACACTGCCTAATGTGATCTATATGGATGGCAGCTTTTAAGTTTCATAGGTTCTAGAATTACAAATTAGCTAATTTTAATCAAAACATGTGAAATGTTATCCCGGCTGGATATAAAGGCTGACTGTGCTCGATGCTTGGGGCTCGCGTTGTTGACTTTGGCTGCGGGTGCACTCCGTGGTTTGGGAGATAGTTGTCCTTCTACAGTATAACAGATGTTTGTCTGAACTGGTGAGGAAGAAACAAAAACAACATTGTGTGAAGGGAAAAATTACACAGTTTTTAGCCAATGCTGCAGGACTAAGTATGGAATTAACCTCCGTGCACAGAATTTCCTTTTGGAAAATGTTATTTTTCTTTTAAATCACCACCTCCTATTTGAAGTTTTAATCCTTATTGTTTCAACCCATAGTAGCAGTAAATGAAAAGTTCCACCCAGCAAATAGTTCAGTTGCCTGTAGCATGGTGTTTTCTCTCTGGTTTGGAACAATGTGTCTGTCAGAGACCCCTGGCCGAAATCTTCAGTCTTGTCAAAGCACACCATGCCAGGGAGTCATGAAATCCCATTCCTAGTGGAATTGTTCAGTAGGCATTCCTCTAATATAATAGCACTAAAAGTCCTCATTTTTAAAAGTGATTTTTCAAAGACAAAAGGTGAAAGGGTTATTTCGAACTCATTAAAATTTTTCCGTTTTTAAGAGTAATAACCACATCAATAAAACCCATCCCCAAACGTCATGGTATTATTACCCCTCCATCTGAAGTGTAGAGTAACATAACAAGTTGGTTGCCCTGCATAAAAATATGTGCAACAAAATGTCACCGAGAACACAATGTGGCCTTGTGCAGCTTCATATCGGTGCCGCTGGAGCTGCCTGGCTGTGTTTGCCTTCATCTGAACGGCTTTCATCTGGACCAGTGTAAACTAAGCCCTGGTAAGTAATCACTGCCCGGCAGAAAGAAAGGAATGTATACAGCTAGCACGGCCTAAGCTGTAAAAACGGAAACTTGAGCCCCCACCAGGATCACATATCAAGGCTTGAAGGTAGGGGAAATGAAAGGGGGAAAGAGGAGAGAGCGAATGGAAAAGTCAGCCTGGGAAGTGGAGGATCAGGAGGAGGCCCCCCTTAGGGAGATTTGGCTCAGGGATTAGGGAATTTTATCATGGTGTACAGTGACCTACTCAGGTTTCAACACTGGTTGGATCAAGTTGCCTCTCTGCAAGCTGAAAGAAAAAGGACTGGAGTGTATGTGATTTTTTTTTCCCCTTCGGGTAATAGAAAGGACATTGGTACAACTGTCTATTTTAAGTACAGCCAATGCAGGGCACCAAGAATGAGCAACAAAATTACCTCCTCATAGAGACTTCCTCCAAGGTTTCCTAATGGAGATAGTCACAAATTTATTTGAAAACGGCCGGAGAAGAAAAACTGGCTGAGGTTTAGCTGACACCAGTAATGGCATTGGAGATTGTCTTCATGTGGCTGGGAGCTAATATTGGTTGCTGTTTCACTAGATCAGATATTGAGTTACATATTCCTTATCACTGGTTTAATGTACATGGCAGTTGTAACAAATTTAAATTTGATACAATATAATTTTGTGTATGAGAAGTACATGACTTGGCATAGCTAGCTTATAGTGTAACTTTAGTGACAATATCTTCAAGCAGAAATGTTTGTCTCATTATGACCTTTGCAATGACTCTTTATCTTTCCTTTTCTTCTTCCTCCTTTCATCCTGGGTTTTTTAATTGATTAAAAAGACTCATTACTGTACGCGCAATTAGTATGCCTTATTTAATTAGTGGCCAACAAAGGAAATTTGAAAAAAATGTGATCTATATTTTGACTACTTTTGGTTTCAAAATTGAATATTGTGATTGTATCTAATGTAATATGTCTTCGTTATACTGTCAACTCATGAGTATCATAATAAATGCATGTTATGAGGGAATTCTGACATATGGAAGGGTTAATTTGTTTTAGGAGTTCATCCATGGTCGTTGTAATATAAAAACTAGTTTGTTACTATTGGATGTGTAAATGTATATATATGCGTAAGTGTAAATAGAGTTCACTTAAAGGTATGTATTTTGTGCACATAGATCTTAGGGAACATAATCAGTGGTTATCAAACAGTAATGCAACTAGAAAATCTATACTATGAGTAAAGATACTGAGTTGGATTTTTACCTTTTAAAACTCTTTGGCAAAACAACATGATTAGATCAAGCACTCTGCCCTGGGAACTTTCCTAAACAAACCATAATTAATGCATTTACAATGTTTGGCTACTTTATCAATTGCTAAATTACAAGATAATCTGTGTTAAATGTCTAGGGTCTTCTTTTTTGCTGAAGAAGTTTTCTGTCTATAAATATTCTCAGTAAGTAATTTGTACCTAAAATTATGCATCAGTCCTGATGCCTACAGTTAGAGTCAGTCACATCTGTTAGAGTTTAGTAGTAAACTCACCACAAGATTTTCTAGTTTGGTTTCTGATGGTCTCCATTTGGCATTAAAAATGAACTGTGTCAATTGCGTAGATGATAAAACAAGTTGCAGAGCTGAGCTGGTGAGTGTAGTGAGGTAAATAGCTTGGCTTTATAAAAGAAATGGCGGGGGGAGAGAAATCAGAGTATGGATTAGAAAAGATAGCATGGGTTGAAATCAGTTCACTACTAAAACATGTATATTTTAAGTTTTGCTGTTGAAACACCAGTGTCAGACCCGGTAAGTCTCAGGAACCTAGAAAGTGGGCTCAGGACCAGATCACACTGGGGCATTCACAAATGATGTCATACCTCTCCGCCTCAGGTGTACCACGTGGCAGGACTGGGGACTAATGTCAGTCGAGACATTCGTCCCAGTCCTTGCCCCTTGGGAGCTGGAATAGGGTGTTCCTGAGCCCACCAGCCCTGTCCTCTGCATTGCTTTCAGTCTTCTAGCTCAATGCTCCAGTCCTAAGCCCATGAGAGATGGTCCCAGAAGGGCATGAGAGCTGTGAATTCTGCTCTGTTTAACTGGAGGTTTTCTGAAGAGTCTCCATCTGGGAACTTGTGAGTATGATGTGTGGTGAGAGAGATTCTCCAAGCCTTATACAACTCGCAGGTTCCAGAGACGAGGAAATGGAAAGGAACCACTCCACTTCCTCCCAAATCTGAAATAAACATTTGAACTAGAAGAAAATGAGTCTGACAGACTCATTCCCTTCTGCGTTTCCTGCCTCTGTGCCTGCCAAGCACCGCTCTGAGAAGCCAAGCCCTACTTTCCTTGTGTGAAAGACAGACTTCCAGAAACCAAGAGGCAACAGAGTTTGTAAAGGAAAGTAAA